TGCGTCAGCTCCTTAATTTTCATCTGAATCTGCTCTTGGGTTCAGATGTGGTCTTTGATGGCCAGGTTGGCAGCCTCCCTGCCATAGATGGCCACGTTCTTTCATCTAGTGCGGAGGTTATGGACCTTGGAAGCATCCCCCAAAACCCAGTTAGATTCATGATCTCCGCACTGGACCAGGAAGGCGCCCGCCTTCTCCGGCCCCTGGCAGGCTCATGGGAGCTGGGGGACTGGGCCCAGGGAGTGGTGGAAGGCTGGCTGGCACTGGCTGCCTGGCTTATGCTTGGGCCACTGGGTCTGAGGCAGCAAATACTGGCTCTGGGCTGGCAGGCCTGGAGCTGGCACAAACACTGTGGCCAGACTCTACCCCTTTAAGGCTCTGGGGAGTGGGGCAGGAGAGGAGTTTTCCTGGTTGGGGCAATGTGGCCAGCAGGGCACCCTGGGAAGGGCTGGAGGCCCCCTATTTTGAAATAACTCCTATTCCGTGTCTACACAGCGCTTATTTCAAAATAGTAATTTTGAAATAGGTGCTATTCCTCGTGGAATGAGGTTTACCAAGTTCGAAATAAGCCCTTGGCTATTTCAAATTAATTTCGAAAAAGCAGTTGGCTTGTGTAGACGCCAGTACAAGTATTTCAAAATAATGGCTTTTATTTCGAAATAACTTAACTGTGTAGACATACCCACACTACACTACTGCTAAAGCCAACTTCATGCAGGATAAAATTCCTGTAGGCCTTGCATTACTGCCAGAATATAGTAAAAGGGATAAGATAGGAAAGCATATAGATTTGCAGGCTACACTATGCAACCCTTGTTTGCATCATGGCTTCTATGCAGAAGTGGTGTGATGGTGACGAGGAGTAACTGAGGCCATGGGCAAGTTTAGAATCATAGACAATTATGGTTGGAAGGGACCTCAGGAGTCATCTAATCCAACCCTCTATTCCAGCAGGTCCAATCCCAAGTAAATCAGGCTTCTTCATGAGGTGTATGTGGTGTTTTTTTAACAATTTATAGCCAAGATTATTATGTAGTAGCTAAAATGCCACATGATATATATGACGGCAGATTCAGCAAACAATTTTCTGGAATTTTGTATAACAGTTGAACTTAAATATTATTACAATTATAGAGGCACTGGTAGTGATTCTATAGTTAAAGTTGAATGATCCATGAAACGGGGACTATTTTTTAAAAATTTATATATAAGCGGTCTGTCACTGTGACACCTGATATGTATATTTTGTGTAGGCTCAAAACTGGGTATTACAGAATTATTTCTGACTTTACGTGGTTAATGCATTGTATTTGGGAGCAAGCAAAATATGTTGTGGCATAACATGTTTTTGATTTACACTTAGTTAATATTATATTTATCACTCTTATGAACTGCTAGTGAAAAGTGATTAATCTGTAATTCTATAATCTAAGGTTTTTGTGTTCTATCTGTAATGTGTTTCTTCTTATAATATCTTGTAGGGTAGGGAAATAAATTTATCTCCATTTTGCATATGGAGAACAGAGGCACAGAGAGATTAATACCTTGCTAAATGTCACACAAGAAACCTGTTTCAGATCAGAGTTTGAACCCACAAGTGTTAGTTCAGCACCTTCCCCATGCAATCATCCTTCCTATCATGAGTAATTTATTATGTCTAATATCTATTCTAAGGTTGATGCTTTTCTCCATTTTGTTTCTTAACCCTTATAGCTGACTTTGTATTCTATTCCTTAGTTTGCATAATAATTTGTGGCCATGATGTGTGGTAAAGAAAGGGGTCACATTTTCTTTTGTGTGATTTATCATATTGTGGGTTTAAACCTATGTCACTAGTTCCTTATAGACTTTAAGATCAATCATGATCATCTAGTCTGACCTCCTGCACATTTCAGGCCACATAAGGCCACCTACTCATTCCTGTAATAGAACCATAATCTCTGGCTAAGTTACTGAAGTCCTCAGATCATGGTTTAAACATTTAAAATTACTGAGAACCTATAATTCACACTAACTTGAATCTTTAAGTTACCCCTCCCCCATGCTATTGGGGAAACCTTCCCCCCACCATGTCTCTGCCATCTGACTATGGGGAAAATTCCCTCCTGATCACATCTGGGCTACGTCTAGATTGCATCCCTTTTTCCTAAAAGGGATGCAAATTAGATGTATCGCAATTGCTAATGAAGTGGGGGATTTAAATCTCCCCCACTTCATTAGCATAAAAATGGCTGCCGCTTTTTTTCAGCATGGAGCATTACCGGAAAAAAGCGCCAGTCTAGATGCGGATCTTTCGGAAAATAAAGCCTTTTCCAAAAGATCCCTTATCCCTTATTTTAAGAGGGATAAGGGATCTTTCGGAAAAGGCTTTATTTTCCGAAAGATCTGCGTCTAGACTGGAGCTTTTTTCCAGCAAAGCTCCGTGCCGGAAAAAAGCAGCAGCCATTTTTATGCTAATGAAGTGGGGGAGATTTAAATCCCCACTTCATTAGCAATTGAGATACGTCTAATTTGCATCCCTTTTACGAAAAAGGGATGCAATCTTGACGTAGCCCTATGGTGATGAGTTATGGTATGTCTACACAGCAAAGTTATTTCAGAATAACAGCCATTATTCCGAAATAACTATGCGAGTGTCTACACAGTCATTCCATTATTTCAAAATAATTTCAAAATAACAAGCAGCCTATTCCGAAATCTATAAATCTCATTCTACAAAGAATAACATCTATTCCAAAAATAGCTATTTCAAAATAAGGCATGTGTAAATTCTATTTCAAAATAGCCCCTCACCAAGGCCATTCCAAGTTATTCCTCCTCAGAACCTCTTGGGGCTCTAAATCGATATAGCATGTCTACATTAGGGAAGCCTGCCTTGGACTAGTTTTGAGGCTTCCCTGTAATGTAGAAGTGCTATTTTAAAAAAACTGTTTTGGAATAACTATTTCAGAATAGCTTATTTCAAAACTGATGTGCAGTGTAGATGAGCCGTAGACCCTGATCATGTGGGGTAAGACCCAGCAGCTAGACACCTGGGAAAGAATTCTCTGTAGTAACTAAAGACACGTCTAGACTATGTTTTAATTTTGAAAGAGGATATGCAAATTGCTATTTTGAAAGTGGGTCTTTTGAAAGTGAAAGTAGTCTGGATGTGTTTTTTTCAGAAAAAAACCCCTTTTTCAAAAAACCGCGTAAACCTTTTTTTTAGGAAGAACGTTTTTTTTCAAAAAAGGGTTTTTTTTCTGAAAAAACTCGTGTCCAGACTACTTTCACTTTTGAAAGACCTGCTTTTGAAAAAGTGATTGGAAGAAGATATGCAAATTCCCACAGAATTTGTATATCCTCTTTTGAAATTAAAAGGTAGTCTAGATGTACCCTAAGGGCAGCATTATTTTGGAATTACCAACGTTATTCAAAATAACGAAGAGCGCATCTACACCGCAAGCCATTATTTCAAAGTAATGTTGAGCTGGAGGACTTCTTACTCTGACTCCTATAACTCTCATTTTACAAGGAGTAAGGAAAGATGAAGGAAGAGTGTTCTTTCTTTGACTTCCTGCTGTTTAGACAATGCCAAAAGCTGAATTAAGCTATTTTGACTTTAGCTACGCAATTGATGTAGCTGAAATCATGTATCTTAATTTGGTTTTCGCCTTGCTGTGTAGAGGTACCCTTAGAGCCCTTCCCATCTAGTGTCCTATCACTGGTTTTTGGGGTATTTCCTGTTAGCAGTTGCAGATCAGCTACATGCCACTGTAGGCAATATCGTCATGCCATCCCTTCCACAACGTTATCAAGTTCAAATTTGAAGTCTGTTTTCCACCTCTCTGCTACCTTTCTTCAATTATTGTAATACTGAATCCTTCTTGCTGTCATCTTGTTTTCTATATAGCAGCATGACACAGAGGCAGGGGAGCCAATAGCCTGCGCAGACCTCTGAGCAAGCAGTGTGTAGGGTGGTTCCACATTCCCTGAAGGGGCGGACCCCAGGCAGGAGTTTTCTAATCTTTTCCATGTGCAGAGTAGAAACAAAAAAACCCTTGCTGTGGGATCTCTACTAATCAGTTGGGCAGGGTTTAAATCTCTCCTGAAGTAGCTGCACAAGGACACAGCTTACAGGGAATACTGCCAGTAGGAAGCAGGGTGGAGGGAGCATCAGCTTCCCTGCCCTCTCTAAAGGGTTTGCCAGGGAGCTCAGGGCTGTGGCAACCTCAGAGCAGTGTGAGGTGCCCCCCATCCACCAGGTTTAACTCAATCTGCCTGGCTGCCTGTTGTTTAGTGTAGCAGCCTGCAGAAGAGCCCAGCCGGGAGCATGCCACATCATTCTGCAGCAGAGCACCCCAGCCCACTGGCTTCTTGCTGGAGCAGTGCACAGGGGCCACTGCCTTACTTTCGTCTCTGGGGCAGGGAGTGAAGTCACTGGGGGAGGTGAGGAGAAAGGGAGGGGATGTGATGGGGCAGGGGAGTAGTCACTGGGAGAGGAGGGAAGGGAATGGGATAGGGAATGGAGGGGAGTCGCTAGGAGAGGAGGGCAGAGGGTGGGATCATGGCAGGGGAAAAGTTTCTGGGGGTGGGGTAAGACACTGGGGCAGGAGGGGATGGATGGAGTGGGGGCTGGAGGGGAGAGCTGGGGGTGGGATAAGTC